AGTGATATATTCCCCAGACCTCCCTTCAGCATACAAACAAAAAGTTGCTAAACAGTACAAGCCAGCCAACATGGAAATCTCCAGCATTGTTCTCTTCTTGATCTTGATTTAAAATGCAGAAAAATTGGAAAATGTGGGAAACAAAAAAAAAGGCATAGACGAGTACAGTTACGAGGACAAAGAGAAATCTTCATGTAGAGCATTGTATCATATTTCCAAAGCTTTTTCTAGTGTATACAAAACAACTCCTCATTGATTCAACTAACAGAGGAAATAGCAGTCTATCGATCCAGTTAGAGTAGCTGCAAGTGGTATGTGAGTACATAAGCACATATTAAACACATTTTGGAAATAAAAAGTAGTTTTTAGTACATCACCCCTCTCAACATGGCTGCAGCAATGTTGCCAGTTGTGCTGCAGTTTAATATAGATTTCCTACAGAAATTAATTCCACATGCTGATGGCTTACTAGTTAATGCCTACGAGTTACTCATTTATCTGTTTCACATTTATCAACTGTCAATGTCATAGAATACCCCCCACTTTCTCTTGTTATGAGACAGTGAATAGTAGCTCTTCATGTTTCCTCTATTCAGTAGTTTCCAATAAATGCCTTATGCTTCTCAACGTAATTTTACAGTGTATTATATGTCTTTTTAATACAGGCCTCTAACTAGGATCATTACACTCTTATTTAGTCTATTTTGTTTTATATAACGTTTGTGAGGTGATCAAATACCTTCAGTATAATTGGTAAACTCCAAAATTGTAGAGAATATTGCTAATATTTTCCTTATAAATCTCTTTCTTTGCAGATAAAAAGCAGTTGTTAGGTGAAGGCAAGTTAACATCATTGCTAAAATGAGAAAGGATGACTTGTGTACTTGCTTTCTCCTACATGATCTCATGTAGGGCTGACCGAGCGTGTTAAGGTTATAGTTCAGTTTGACATCCACTTTTGCAAGGAAAGAATTGTTAACCAAAGTTGGGTCCTCTTACTCTGCTTCTTGTTCTACTGTATTCTATTCCAGCAAGACTTCACCTGGGAGATTTGCAGCTCAAAAACAGCCTGAAGTCATTGTCTCACATTAAGGAAACATATCTAGGGAGACCAATTTCTCTCTATATTATCAGTGCTCTTCTTGTATGTGATAATTATAGGTCAGGGCATGATTCTCAGCTTACCACAACAATTGTAAAACTATCAATGTCCATGGAGTTGCTCCCAATACAATAGAGATCTCCAAACCCTGCAATCAGTTAAGATAAATATTACTATTTTGTAAAAGCACTTGTATGGATCTTGGTGACCCTATGCTTGAAATTCTAACATGCATACTGGACAAAAACATCAGCACATTATTTTCAAACAAATTGTGAAAGTGGTTCTGTTAAAAGCAACATTTAGTAAGAAGTCCTTCAGTGAATGAATTTCTGCACTTAACAGAAAGCAAGAAAACAATTGTTTCCTGTAATTGGACAGTTTGATTAGAGGCAGGTGGTGCAGAGCTGAGAAAACTAGAGCCATGAAGCCAATTGTAACGTCAAGTATGCTTCCTTTTCTTTAGGATCCAGAAACATAACATGCAAATTGCTTCCCCCCTCCAAAAAAACCAAACCTACATTTAGTTCCTATTTATTATCCCCACTGGTATTCTATCCATAGTAGGATTTTGCAGCTTGAAAAGAGATGTATACTTGATGTTCATTATACATAATGTATACAGGGATAAAAAGAACATAGACTTAGGAGGGGAAAAAAAAAAAAAAAGAGAACACAAAACCAAAATGTCTTTAAGATTTCCTTGAAAAGGTAGGTAAGATATGTGGTGTTGTGGCAAGGAATCTTTTCTTGTTCAAACAACACACCCTCACTAAACTATTATCAACTGTACCTTTATTACTTTTATTACCAGTACACCGAGGAGTCCCATGATAAACCAGTGTGCTGGGCAGCATACAAAGCAGTACCTTTGACTGCAATAGAATTAAATTTCCTTCAGCTCTTGCTGAAATTTCAGTGGGTATCAATCTCAATTACTGCACAAGCAAATAAAATAACCAGGTCTACTCAAACAGCCTCAGCTCACATTAAGCCAAACACCATTTCTAATCAAGGAGAAACTAAAGTCCTGCCATGGGATGGGAAAGAGGTTGACTGTTTATATACATCTGGTTTAAAGTATACAGAATACTGGACACCGAGCTGAGATAGAATTAATTTTCTTCTTCACAGCCCACTTCACTTTGATCATTCATAAGAGTATGCTTTAAACAACTGAAGGATAAAAACCCCAGGGACAAATTTGCTGCTGGTGTGGACCAACATATAACTTTGATCAGTTTTTGGTATAAGAAATAAGTCTGAACAAAGGGAACTTCCTCCTCAGAGGATGACAGCACACCAAGAACTGTCAGTGCCACCAACCTCTCTCAAAGCTGACTCCTCATGCGCTGAGATGGGAGATGCTCATCACTCCCATTCTGACATGGTACAGAGGACATGACCTCATCCCACCTGCTCCGACCAAGAGCCTGCTGCACATCTTGACAGCAGGCAAGAACAGGAAAAAAACCCCGCGCTGGGCCCTGCGCGTGGGAGGAGGAAGCCGTCTTGGTTAGCTGTCACCCAGCGCGACTGCGAGCGATTGCACACTCCCACTCCCACCACCTGCATCCTACAAGCGAGCTACACCTCTGATCTGGACTGAGATGCTGTGTGAGCACAAATTTACCACCTCAATGCTGCCGGGAAGGGGAAGGGGAAGGCCCGTGCAAATGGCGGCACCAAACCACTCAGTGTGGTGAGCAATGAGAGGCAGGAAGGAGCTGAGTGCGTGACAAAACTTGCAAGGGCCACTCCTAGGCTTGTGAACTTTCTCTATCACACACTGCTCATAGCTAGGCCTAATTCTCCCACAAACATGGGACTGCCTTTGGGCAAAGCTTCATCCAAAAGCATTGTCTGGGGAGGTACCTCAGTGAAATGCACACGGCTCAGGTCAGAAGCATCAGCAGTGGGATCACAGGGACAGCTGACACTCATCCAGAATATAGGTGGATGACTTACAACACGTGATGGGGCAGAATGAACCTTCCCGGCTGGTGCTTGAATGAGACACAACTGACACACCTGGATATGTTGGGACTATTACAACAGCAATATTTTCACAAGGAAGATAAGTACTGAACAATATTTTTACTGTATCAGGCTCAAACTTATCTTCAATCAATACAAGCTATGCGTGACCTCTTCTCCATCTATTCTTTCCCTCAACAAGGTATTTATTGCAGGTAACATTAGGCGTACTTGCAGGGCAAGTGATTTTTTGCATCAGAACCTGCACCATTTAAATGAGGGTAACATGCTGTATGTTACATCCCAAATATTTATAACTTAGGCTTAGTAATAACAAAAGGGTAAGGGACAACAAATATTCCAAGTGATTGCTTAATGCCAGAAAAAATGCTCACTATTAAAGAAAATTACAAATTCTGAGAGACAGAAGTGAGGCTATATGAAATCCAGGAGTGCCTATGTGTCTTTAACACATTTCAGTGGTCAGCGCTAGTGACTTGTTAGTTCCAGATCAAAATATCCCATCTTTTTCTTAGTTGTTGAAAATTGTTCTTAATTTGGTCACTAACTCTTCCAGAGCAGTCCAACCAGGATCCATCAAGACGACTGTCAAGCATGTCATTGATTCAGTTTTGACTAGACAAAAGGATTTGACATAACAGGAACAGTCATTACCAACAACATAGGAAATGAAGCACTATTTGAACATCCTAGAGCTCATGCCTTCCTTGGTATCTCTCTGTCTCTGAGACACCCACTAAGATGAGAGGGAAACGGATGAGTTCTTAACATAACACTCTAGATGCTGGTCTGGAAGAGGTTCCCTAAAATGAGAAACCTACTCCTCTACACTGAAAAAGCTTGGTCATCCTGGGTAATATTTATAATATCCAGTTGTTCCATATGGTTAAGTTAAATTTTAATCACACTATTAAGCCACCAAAATTCTTTGCATTTCCTCAGAGAAGTCAAAACAAAACAAATTCTCTTTGGTAGACACTATTTCTCAGGCAATCATGCTGACTGTGGATAATCAAATCACATTATTTAAGCTCTCTGTGTACTCCTCTTCAGGTTTTCCAGCCTCCTCCACATGCATATTGTCTCTTTTCATAATACACTATTTACCTAAATGGTGCAGAAGCACAGGGATACTATTGCTAGTTGGACAAAATTGGCATAAAGTCAATACAGATTTTAAAGATATTTAGGCATTTAGCTCCCCTGGCATTAGGAACAAAATATCTCACAAAATCTGTTTGTTATACAGGGACTGGAACAGAACTGCATTCCTCTGTACAGCTGGAGTCTGATGGTCATGTTTGAAAAGGGTCTTTATCACTGAAGTGGAGAGAAGGCAGGCACAAATCAGCTGGACATAAGGTCAACAGCTATGCAAAGAAGGAAGAAATCCTGTCCTTATTTTGCTAAATCTCCAGCAATTCCAGTCTAACCAGGCCTAGTCCAGGAAGAACTGCTACTGAGAAGTGCAATCTCTTCCCTAATCCACAGTCTTCCAGTTCAGCCATCCTGTTGCAAAAAATATTCTACAATACACACACTAATAACAACAAAAAAATGCTACTGAAACAAGGATCTCCACGACAGACTGGTTCTCCCAGGAGGAGAAGCTGAGAGAGCTAAGACCCCATGGCTGTTGTTACTGGAGGTGCTCAAATACTCCAGTTATGACTGAGATTCAGAAATGCACATAAAATAGAAACCACCCAGCTAAGAGGACTGCTGTACTTTGATTCTCTTTAGGTCATCACTGATATTACACTCTTGCCAGTCTTACAGCACCTCCCAGTTTTCTTGTGTTGTCCCAATTGCCTCAGAATTCAGAGAAACTGGTTACCTAGGCATGGGTTATATCGACCTTGAGAAATTGAGTTTTCAGGCATTTCAATTTCATGATCACCTGTGCAGGTCTGATCCTGATCTTCTCTAGTAATTCTCTTTTCTCCCTTGGGAAATTTCTGCCATCTGTTCTCTTATTCTTTCCTGAAAATGGAGGCAAAAATATAGGTTTTAGCAACACCCTCAGTAAATGCTTTCACTTTCTCTCATAGGCCCCATCATTCCTTTCAGAAGCCTGTTATTTCAAATGCACTGCAGGCAAATACATTTAATTGTATTTTAAAGTGAGCAAAGGTTTCAATTACCAGTTTCATTCTTGCCCAGTTCATATATTTATTTCAAACACTTATGCATGTTTCCCTTCATCCTCCATCTGTCTTCTTTTATTTCCATTCATTCATTCTGTTGTGAATTGTCATCTAATATAGAACATTATAATGAAAGTCAGGTCTTCTAATTCAGCTGCTTATCTCTCAAACTCATGGTGTGACCCTGTGTGTGTCATTAAGCCTTAATAAGCCTCATTTCCTACCTTTAAAAAGGATGTTGTCTGTTTGAACCATTATATTAAAATTGTTTAATTTAATAAGAGTAGAAATACTTTATAAATGCTAAGTATTATTTCCATTACATGCCAATCATGCCACCCACATTAATAAACTCCTTTGTGTTTACTTCTGGGCTGATATTGTCAGCCCAGCCTGGGCTGATAATGACTACTCTTGGGCTCTGGGTCCACAGTTGAACAGACAAATTTCACTTTTGAAGATCTGTCTTGCTTCTGAACCATTTCCCTGCCTGCAAAACTTTCCTCCAAAAATTATCCTTCATGAAACCATGCAGAGAAAACCTGTTAAAAAGAAACTGAATTTTTAAGCTGAACAACAGATAATATAAATAGTTAGGTCCCCTACTCTGCTAATTGTTCTCTTCTTTTAGAGGTTTCAGTAAGAGTATCTGAACATATGTATTTACTCAAAGCATTTTCAACACAATGCAATAACATTGAAATGAGGAAGGAGACCGAAGTATAGATATTTGAAGGATGGATCCCATCTATTTATTTGTGGTTCAGAGAGGTGCAGAAAGCCCATTACACTCAGATTATGGTAACAAATTGAAAATTGATACAATGTGTTTTGTTTTGGTTTGTTGGGGATTTTGTTTGGGGTTTTGTTTGAGTTTGGGGTTTTTAACTTCAGTATGATATTATTCAAAACAGTTGACAGAGATAGGATAATCTTGTTTTAGTTTTGAATGGTCTTGTTAACATTCAGCTCCACAAAGAAAAATATTTTTCCCACTCAGAGCAACTCAACAGAACCTGATTTGGTTACTGCCACTGGAACCCTTGCAGTCACAAGTCCAGGTGGCCTTTGTGCTTCAGGCAATAATTTTCTAACACCTTTCACCTCTCGAGCCTCAGCTGCATTCCTGACATGCTCAAAACTCCTCTGAACATCATGGCACATTAGAATATTCAAGAAACATGGAATCAGAAGGACAACAGAGTGTGTGTTGTACAATTTATTGGGATAAAAACATCTCAATCATCATTTGTTCTTGTTTATAGGAGGTTATATTAACTCTTCAGCTCTGGTTCCTCTAGAAGAGTGAATTGCCTATCAGTTTCTTTCTATTATAATATCAGGTAGCTTCTGCTCTGGGCACCTGCAGTAACACACACTGGTGGGAGATAGTTTATAAGTGGAAAAGCGTGAGGATTTTCATTATTCCTTTGAAGTATGAAGGCTAGATCAATGGCTTGATCCTAGCCATTGAGAGGCCTGGAGCAGAGTTGAGTGCCTATTTCATGTCTGATATTTCTTTCCTCTGACCAGATAAAAAGGAATAGTGAGAAAACACAATCATTGTGCTTTGCCTCAGTACACCTGTCAGTCAAAATAACCCACAGCAGGAGCAAACCAGGAAACTTTAAAGCTCTGCAAACCACAACTTTTTCTCTAAGATGCACCTCACCTCTTCTGGTTTTAGTGATTAGTGACTAGTGATTCCTGGCTAGGCTGTTACAAAGCTGATAGCTGCCATACATTCCTCCACAAGGATGCAGTAACTTTTTTGCCCTGACCCCTTAGACATTTCCCTTCACTCAACATTGATGCTTTTCCTTGGATTTTGTTTTCTAAAACTTTCCTTCTCCCTACAACAACAAAGTTATCTATTCTTTAGTTCACCTGGTGTCTCAAGTGTCACCTCTAGTTTCTCCCTGTCTGATTGTCTAAACCTCCTCAGAGATCTCTACCCACTAACCACTATTTAAGAGCAGTAGAGAAGATGCTGACACCTCTGCAACTACTTTGTTCTCAAAGACTAAGTGACTACTAATTTTCATTCATCACCTAAAGATAATCACACACATTTACCAGCCAGAAGAGTACTGCTACTCAAATACAAGTGTTAACATTACACAGATTGTTACAGCCATTCAGGATTAATACCATTTACCTGTTGTCCTCTGAAAGTCTTTCTTTGACTTCAGGTCTTACTTTTTCCTTCTTCCCTATAAAAGGCTATTTGTCACTGTACTCTGTTTCACAACAATACAGAACTTTCCATGAGATTATGGATTTATTTGTCAACATCAGGCACTTCCACTCCATCTTTCCCACTGGATCCTCACCCCTAGGGCTCAGTCATCAGCCTGGTGTGACTTTCAACCCACAGGCTGCTCCATCTCCAGTCCACTTAGCTGGCTTCTTCTCCCCATATCTCTACCTGAGAAGTGCTGAGTAGCACAACTTGCTCAAATCTCTCACCTTTGCACTCATGCAGCTTTGGAGGTACATCTCAAGGCATGTCTCCCTGCAGTGCAATACCCACTCCCTTTAGATTCTCATCTTGCAGACCTCCCCCTCAGAAAAAAAGGAAAAGGCTTGTCTTACCTACAGACCTTACAGGCTCAGCTGATCCCCTGATAGATGAAAACATTTAGAATATGTACTGCTGCCATAAATTGTGGATAGTTAAAAGAAAAAGAACCCTGTGGAGATATCTGAAATTTAAACTTAGACAGGCAGCAATCTAAAATAAACTACAGCCGGTGTTTCAGCTTTGATTCTGCTGCCACTAAAGGTAAATGATACAATTCCCATTGATTCCAATTAAATCATAGACTAGGTCCTCTTCTTACTCATCTTTCTCTTTTTTTGATGCCTCTATTTGCCTTTCAGTAGTAAGTTTCCTTGTAATACCATGTGGCTCTCAGGACAATAAAAAAAATTCTGAGAAATTCATACAAGTGCCAAACTTGGTATTATTTTTTTAATAAGAAAGTAGGTAAGATTTTTAACTCCACTAATTAATGGCATTGAAGTAAAAGCAGAATGGTTTTGTGCTAATGGTTTAGTTGGTTTCAGTTTGGTCTATAATCCATGCTAAGAACCAACGTACTTTCTGTACATCTCTGTACTTAAAAAAAAAGCACTCTCTTATGACACTAAATACATAAATGTTAAAATGTAACTTAATCATTTTGCAACGAGATGGATGTTTAACCATTTCGCATCCAGCTTGACCTTGATATGCCTTATCTCAAAGCAGAACATGCACACACTCATTTTTAGGATGTGCTTTGCACACCCTTGTAGGAAGCAAGCTGTAGTGACATGTGACATTCCTGCATTGGTGCTGCCATTCCTGTGGGAGTTGCATTGCCACAAGCAATGCAGCTTTTTGCTTCACTCTCTGTTCTTACAAGGACAGCCAGAGGGTCTCCTGGTTTCCACTTCAATGGTGACACAGAGCATGACACTCAGCCTACGCTGTGGGCAGTTCAGCTGCAGCTGTTTTGAGACACTTGGGGGTAAAGTTTCAGGGTTGTCAGCTTCCACACTTTGCTGAGCTCCCTGTCCTCTTTCCTAGAGGTCTGTTCTTGAAACTCTGGCCTTCCTGGTTGCAGAGAAAAGCCTGAAAACATGGAATCTTACAGTATTTTGAGGTGTGACTCCTGACTTTTTGCCAAGAAGGGCATATACTATTGCCTCCTTTCAACTTCCCTTTGCCTCTTTGCATGCAGCCGCACCTGCAGATGTTCAGGGAGGAGTGCCTGCACGCATCCACCCTAAAAGCAGCTTCTGTGTATGCAAAAGTCAGCACCCGCCTGCACAGGTGTCACTATTCCCCACGGGCGGGTGCAGAGGTTCTGCTTGACAGGGCCACATGTGTATAAGCAGTTGCCCCTTTGAGCAAACTAGTCTCTGCATATCACACTTTAGCAAAGTAGCACAGCTTCTTCCATGTGTTCCATGCTCAGCAAATTTCTTAAAGTAGTTTTATAGAGGTAGATATACAGATGTCTATCTCAGACTTTTTTTCCACTTGTCCTATTTGACCTTCGCAGTTACATCACACTGAGCTCAGAGACCAGAGCTCAGTTTAACTCAGTTTCTAATGGCTGCTGCTGAGAGTGCTCAGCTCACAGAATAAGAACCAGCCCAAAAAACTGACCAGGGCAGAAGGGCTTAGAAGTGCCTGTCCTCATTACACTGGTCCTCCTCAGTTTCCTCTGGGATTTGGAGGATGCATGGCCTTGTACCATAAGTGAACTGGCAGGCCAGGCAAGGACAAAGCCACTCTACCCTGTAGCCCACTCCCAGAAGAACGTCCCTCCTGACTGGACAGAATGTCAGGATCATGTATCAACACAACCCAAAACCATTGTAACTTAAATTCATCTTATGACAGATTTTTAAAAGATGTACCAACAAAAATGTCAAGGAGTTCTGTCATTTTTCTTCAAAGATAGCAAAAGAGGTTTGATCCTTCTCCAAATCAAAAGGTGAGAGTCCTGTTACCCCAATAGAATCCCATCCTGGGACTCTGCTGGCAGAAGACCTTCTGCAAGCTGGCAACAAAGTTTTTTATATCAAGAAGACCACCCAAAACATCCTTGTTGCTTTCAGAGCACTACAGAGGGAGCACAGATCATCGTTTTTCTTTAAACTCCCAGGATAATTTCATCAAAAAATTACATTAGATGATGAGACCAACACCATGACAGCCCCAGGGGAATCTTCCCAGAATGGCCTCAGCCACCTTCAGCACAAAGTTGCCCAAAGAAATCATCACTCCAGATA